TCCTGCTACAGAAGGACCCTGTCGTCTAGAACCAGGGTGGGCACGTTCCTGCTTCAAAGACCTTCCCTCAGTCCTGCCTGCCCTGTGGTTGTCACGCTTGAAGGTCGGGTGGGGGCCTGGCAGTTTCCTGACACCTTCTATCGCTCGGTGTGCCAATGAACATGGGCTGTCGTGTTCCCTAAAACACAAGTGGCAGCTGGGGCGGGTGGACGAGGCTCAGCCGCGGCCACGGACCGCGGGCCTGGTGCCACGGAAGGGTGTGGGTCTCCCCCACAGAGCAGTGTCGGTCCAGGTCACTGTCCTCGCTAAAGCAGCAAGAACACACCCACACCGCCCGGCACCCCTGGCGTGAAGTCACACAGACGGCGCAGGTGTGTGTCAGGTCGGCTCAGCCGAACTCCGCCGGCCGTGGAGCCCGCTCCCCACCGCCCTTGCCGCCTGTGCCGCAGCCGCAGCCACACGAGCAGCCCACTCGAGGGCCACGCTGTGCTGCTGCCAGCCGCAGGCGACGGCTGGTCTCTCCGTGAAGACTCCACACCCTGTGCCGCCCACCCGCCCCCCACAAACACAGACTGGGGCCGCTGTCCAGCCAGCCCCTCGTTTGGCCCTCAGTGCAGGCAGAAGGCACGCTGGCCTTGCCGCGTGGAACAGCCCCTCAGAGACCAGATGGCCCTTCCTGGAGACCTACCGCTTCGCCAGGCAAGACAAGCCCGGTCCCTGGTTTCTGCTCAAAGCCCCGTCACCCCACAGGACGCCACAGGTCCCCGTTTCCCTCCTGCTTTCGTCCCTCAGCTGGAGAGGAGACAGACTTAGAGGCACGGGGAGTGGACGCAGGCCCTCCAGCAGCGCCCCGGAGCGAGTTGCTTCCTTCCGTCCCCGCTCCCCTTCCCCTCAGGCTGTGGACAGGGCGCACCCAGCACACTCGGAAGGTCCTGCCCTGCAGGGCTGGGATGGCCCGGCCCAGCCACGGCAGCTGGGACTCTGGGACTCGTGGGCTTTTCTGGGTTGGGAGGCAGGTCCCACCCCTGCAGTGGCCCGTCCCGCTCCCTCCCAGCTGCGCTGGGCGTGGGCTCCTCCAGGGTGTGGCTCTTCCATGCCTTCGCCCAGACACAAGGACCTGCCACGCACAAGGGCCCTGCGGAGTGAGCCCGGGTCACCCTTCAGTTCGGGACCTTGGAGTGCTTCGTCTCAGTCTTACTGTGGAACGGTGGACGGAGGCGGCACGAGGCCACCTAACGCACTGCGAGTCAAGTATGAGACGAAACCCAGAGTCCAGCTGGCAAGCCTTGCCCTGCTTTGCCCCACGCCGCCCCGAGTGACCGATGACACTGACCTATATTGGTGAGCTGACCCTTCGCACTCAGGGACATGGAGAGTGCAGGGGGGGACGGCGGCTCGCACCGGTCGTCAGATTCGGGCAGCCCGCCAGTGGTGTGGGAGTGTCGCCTCTCCTTGGCATCCTCCTGGGACTGGAGCTGGTACCTGTCGGAGGCAGTGGCTGGTCAGGCTGGGCAGCTACACATGGCATCGGAGCAGGTTTAGCTGCTGCGGGCTCTGACGCAGGACAGGGGGCCAGGAGCAGACGGATGCCCGAGAACGTTGGCACCCCTTCCCGGACCCGTAGGGGGCTGCGGGGAGTCTGAGGCGGGGCCTGGCGGGAGTGTGGGGGCCCTGAAACATCTCCCCAGAGCTCAGGACAGAGCTTTCTGGTGCCCTGTGTGGCTCTCGGGCAGCACGCGTGCCCTGGAAGGGGGCCTGGACGCTGCAGTCACAGTAGAGGAGGCGGTGCCCCACTCCCCGCCATGTGGACCCCAGAGGCCGCTGTCCTTAGACACGAGGAAGGCCAGCAGGGGACAGCACGGGCGGGTGCGGGTCACGTATGAGTCCCACGTGCAAACTCGTTTCTCCTCCGTCACCCGAGAGAACACTGCTGTGCAGCTGACTCCGACGTGAGCGCGCGTGGGCGGGGGGCGGGGTCGGGGGGGCGGGAACCGCATGCAGTGACGCGGTACAAAAACCACAGTCAGGCCAGGCTGGCAGAGGCCACCCTGGGCTTCCGCAGACCGGGGCCGGCACAGGGGAGGGCGCACACGTGAGGGTTACCTGAGCCCCTTCTTGGGCAGGGTGTTCCGATCCCGCTGACTACTGTGGAGAAAGAAGCAGTGTGTGGGCCGGGCCCATCTAGAAACCAGCATCTGGGAGCCCAGGTTGGGGGAACGCTCCACCTGAACTCGGGGCACCGGACTGCGGCCCCCTACTCGCTACAAACCAAAGAAGGCAGCGACAGCCTCTGGGCTCACAGCCTGAGCCCTTTACCTGAAGGGCTGATTAAGAGTCAGGGTGGCCAGCTGTTGAGAAGGTGACATCAGGGTGGTGCAGACCAGGACCAATGTCCTGGGAACGATTTGGGGCTAGGAAGCACAGGCTTCGGAGGGCAGGCCACACTAGTCATGAGCCCTTGGATAAGTCACTTAAGGTTTTTTGCACTAGCCTCCCGATTTATGAGACAGTAATTTAAAAAAAAATAGTACCTATTTAGCAGAGCTGTGAAGCGAATAAACTTCACGTAGAAAAAACGCGTGGAAAGTCGCAAAGTGGTGACCCCGTGTGGGACAGAGTCGGTAATGGAAGCGTGCGCGGGGGCCTAGGGACAGACCCGGCCTCAGCCCTGTCTGTCCACCCACCTGTCCAACTGCCCAGCTCGGGGGCTTCCGCTCCAGGTCAGCTCTTCTGCCTCGTCCTGGGGGGGCCCAGCAGAGGGGGCCGGCGGGGTGGGGGTGGGGGTGCTGCTGGGGAAGGCACTGGGCAGGCTCATTGGCATCTGGAGGGACTCCATGCTCCTGTGCAGGCCTGAGAGTTTGGGGTACATACGGGCCTCTTTGGGGACGCTGAACCCACTCATGAGCTCCAGGCCCTGGGAGAAGCTGGCTGAGTTGATATTGAGGATAGGGGCCGGACTGGGGGTGAAGCAGGAAGCGAGGGGGCCCCCAGCTGCTGAGCTCGTAGCGTGCAGGTCTGGGACCTTCGGGGCGTGGGTGTCACTGGCCGACGGCAGGTCTAGACTGTTGGAGTTGACCTTGTCTAGGTTGGCCAGCGAGGGTGGCTTGACGAAGCTTTTGACTGCGGCCCTGAGAAGCAAGGAGAAGAAGGATGGTTTGGAGCGGCGAGTGCCAAGCGCTGCGACACCTCGCTGGTCCCCGCCTTCCTGTTCACCGCGTCGGGGGCTCGTCCCGACGACATTGTGAGACACACGGAGGGACGTCCGGTACCGACGCGGGGTCCCGTTGAGTCTGAACGACAGAGACGGCACGCGTGTGTGGGAGACCCGGGTGTGCGCGTGAACGCACGCGGGAAGACCACCCGCACAGCATGTAAGGCAGGCGGAGGGGGATCAGGCGGCTGCGCAGACGGGGGGAACTGTGAAGGAGTTCTGGCTGTGCAGAAGGGACTGGCACGCAGAGGTGTCGGGGAGAGGCCTGCGCGGAGGCCGAGCGGCGTGGGGATGGATGGAGAGGGCGGGTCGAGCCGGCGGACGGGGCACTGCCCGTGCGGGTACCTGACGGGGGTGGGTGGCAGCTCTGCCAGCTTGGTGGCTGGGGCGTGGCTTGCTTGGTTCTTCGGCGTGCCCTCCGGGGAGCTGGCGCTCTTCGGGGAGGTGCTGTCTGCTTCCAGGGCCGCCGCCTTGGCTTTGGCCTTCTCCTTTTCCCGAT